AGCCCGATGCGGGACTCGATCCCGGGACTCCAGGATCATGACCTGAGCCGAAGGCAGTCGCCCAACCAACTGAGCCACCCAGGCGCCCCCTAAGGTGATTTTTAAAATTAAAAGATCCTTGGGGTGCCTGGGGTGGCTCAGTCGGTAAAGTGGCCAACTCTTTTTGAGAGAGAGAGAAAGAGAGCATGAGCAGGGGGAAGGGACAGAGGCAGAGGGTGAAGCAGGCTCCCCGCTGAGCAGGGAGCCTAATGTGGGGCTCAATCCCAGGACTCAGGGATCATGACCTGAGCCAAAGGCAGATGCTTAACCGACTGAGCCACCCAGAAGCCCCAAAGGGGCCAATTCTTGATTTCCACACAGGTCATGACCTGAGATAGAGCTCTGCCTCAGGCTCCGTGCTCAGCAGGGAGTCTGCCTGAGGATTCTCTCTCCCTCTCCCTCTGCCCCCTGCACCCCCACCCTGGTCACATGAGTGTGAGCCCGCTCTCTCTCTCTCTCTCAAATAAATAAATAAATATTTTTAAAATAAAATTAAAAAATAAAAAGATCCTTATGCTACTAAACTAGCAATATAGCAACCCCTTAGAAATTCAATGCATTTTAAATATTTTAATATTAAATTCCAACTTACATAATCTTCACTCTCTGATACAGGATTATTGTTGTCTGTGGAAGAACTTCCATCTAATGGTTTCTCAGAAGCAGCATCAGGGAATAAGAACTTAGGGAGAAAAATAAAAATAACCACATTTCAACCAATTTCCTACTTTGTTGATATTCATAACTCATATAAACACTATTTTATTTTTTTTATGGTTTTGCTATTAAAACAATGGAAATGTGCTTATTGTACTGGCCAGTGGGTTCTACATTATATCAAACATTTTCTGTTTTTCTTTAAAAATACATAGTTTCAGTGATAAGCCAATTTTAGAAATCAGAGATTTTTCTTAAAACCACCTGGTTGTGTAGACTAAACAATGAAAAATCTCTTCACTATGATCCATGGTCATTAAATTTATAAAAAAGTATTAGACAAAACCTAAGAGAAAAAATTTAAATACGCACACATTCATGAGGCTCTATGAAGTTATACAGTCCACAGATTTTCATATATGAAATATTAAGACTATGATATTTAAGACGATAACTTTACAAGATACCCCTAGAAAGTCGGAAGCAGTCTAAACCTGTAATGACCAGTTCATCTTTTTCCACGTGGTTTCTGTTTACGTGTATGTAGGAATGGTAAAAAAAAAAAAAAAAAAATTCAGTGCATATGGTAACTAGAATAAAATCTCTAAGGATATATTGTTAAGAAGGGGCCTTTCCCAGGGCCACTGGGTGGCTCAGTCGGTTAAGCATCTAACTCTTGATCTCAGCCCAGGTCTTGATCTCAGGGTTGTGGGTTCAGGCCCTGCATTTGGCTCCCCAGCGTAGAGCTTCCTTAAAAAAAAAAAGAAGGGGCCTTTTCTGCAGAAATATATTTTCAGTCCTCTTATCACTGTTCTTCCCAAGCGCGTGTTGTACTGCTGACTTGTGATTCCTTTTACTATGCATACTATGCCACATATTACAGAACGTGCTCAGGAGACTTTTTCAAATTTAGAGGAACTACTCTGTACCAACCCCCACTACTAGGTACATTTGCAAACAATATCCTAATCTAAAACCACTGTGTAAGGTAAATATTACTGCCCACTTCTTTCAGATACACAAGCTGAAAATCTGGTTAAGAGTTTTATTCAGATTAATGCTGGGATGAGATTAACATCAAGTTTCCACGTCCAGTATTCTTTTCATTGCACTATTCAAAGGTTGTTCCCAAGATTGTCTTAATGCACAAATTGCCAGAAATATGACTATACCTACAATTATAGTAAGAACAGCTATCATTTTACCAGAGGCCTATTATATGCCAGGCGTTAAGAGATGGTCCTTTCATCCTCCAAACAATCTAACAGGGTTTCATTAGCCTCATTTACAGATGACAAAACTGAAATTAAATGACTTACTCAAAATAATATAGTAAAATCAGGATTAACCCTGGTGTGTGTGGTTCCCAGGCTGGGCCTGTTCCACCACTCTATACCTAGGAGACATCTTAGCTCTTTCTAGTACTTACTATAAAGCTTTCCTTAGACTTTTGTGAAAGGAAGCTTTCAAAAATCCAGTTCTGATGTTGACCCTCTGCTTAAAATATTAAACTGCAAGATGAAGCCCGGTGTTTCAGGACTGTTCATCTGTTTCTAAAACCTTCTCTTCAAGATGCAACTCAAGTGCCCTTCTTTATGACACCTTCCCTGATTCCCACTGCCCAGATAGAGACAGACACATCCTCTGCTGTGTTCTCACAGCCAAACTGCCAGACTTCTCCCATGCAACACGGTATTGTAACTACAGTTTACCTTCCTTCTTCCCATTAAACTAGTGGGAATTCTCTGAATGTGGAGACTTCGTTTTACTCATTTTATATTCCCAATCCAGTGCTTGCCACATAGAAGGGACTGGTTGATAATGAATAAATGAGTATACATACAGACATAGAAAGATACCATATTTAGTTACCAAGAAATGAGTATACATACAGACATAGAAAGATACATTTAGTTACCAAGAGAATAGTATTGAGGACATCATTATTCAGTGGTGACTCTTCTACACCTCTGTGTTTTCGTATTTTCTTCTTTGCACTGTGTACCATATTTGAAACTGATAATTTATGAATTGGAACCGGTGCTGGCTCTGTCAACTTTGACAAAGCATGAGTTATATCAGCAATTTCTATAAAAAGAATAGAAACGAACAGAAATTATATCACCAACCTTAGCAAGTTAAAGTGATGAATAAACTGTTGATTGTATAAAACATTTTAGTCACTATTTTCACTGGTATTATATGGTCTCAGAATTACAAAATTTTAAGACATATTCAGCGTCCATAATGACAAAGGTGTAACACAAATTATTTCTCTCCCGCAGTTTTAAAGAAACGTCTAAAACCCTGCTTTTCAAAATATCTTACAGTTTTGGTAGAAAGAACTTATTAAATGTGCTTAATTTTTAAGCTCAGGGTAAAGCCCGGAGAGAAATGGTAGCAGTCTACTCCATCAAAACTTGTTTTTCCAACTTAATTCAAATGTGAAAATAGATGAAAAGTTACTAGAAAAATGCCAAAGAAAAAGGGTTAGATGTCTGAAAGTAACTTAAAAAAAGGAAAGTAGGTCACCTCTCCCTTCTTCCTCAAATGTGGATCGTCCAAGAATTTCATCAGTTGACTCCTTTCGACGGCAAATTTTAAAGAATTCAGTGACAAAATCACCTACATAGAAAAGATGTTACTCATATTTGACACTTAACTAAAAGAAATCAGCCCTACAAATTAAAGTACATGTCTTTTCACAAAAGCTGTAAGAAAGATTTGGTAGAAAAAGAAACCATTCAGTTTTTCCACCCAAGACAAAAATTAATCCTGTTTCAAAGATAGCCTTGTTCTTCCCTTCTCTCCATGTCACAAGATATTAAAAAAGTTTTTCCTTAGAATCCCTTCTAGAATGAAAGGAAAAGTAACTGTACCTAGTAATATTAATCACTTACTATGTGCCTGAAGAAGACAAATAATTATCTGTTCTCAATGAATTGTAGAAGTAACAAGAATATTACTATATGCACAAAGTGCCACCTTAACTGCCACCCTTCTAGAATTATGAGTTCATTAAAAAAAATTAAAATTAAAAAGAACTTCTGGTCCTTTCATGAAGATGGTACCAAAGGTCAAGAAGGAAGCCCCTGCCCCTCCCAAAGACGAAGCTGAAGCAAAAGCTTTGAAGGCCATGAAAGCGGTGCTGAAAGGCGTCCACAGTCACAAAAAAAAAAGATCTGCATATTGCCTACGTTCCGATGATCCAAGACACTGCGTGTCCGAAGGCAGCCCAAATATCCTCAGAAGAGCGCCCCCAGGAGAAACAAGCTTGATCACTATGCCATCATCAAGTTCCCCCTGACTACTGAGTCAGCCATGAAGACAACAACACACTTGTGTTCATTGTGGATGTCAAGGCCAACAAGCACCAGATCAAACAGGCTGTGAAGAAGCTCTACGACATTGAGGTGGCCAAGGTCAATACCTTGTCAAGCCTGATGGAGAGAAGGCATTTGTTTCACTGCCTCCTATGATGCTTTGGATGTTGCCAACAAAATTGGGATCATCTAAACTGAGTCCAGCTGGCTAAATCTAATTTTTTTCACCACAAAAACAAACAAAAAACCTGAAGATATGTTTCTAGAGGATTAAGAAATCATGCAGCATAAAGTTATTTTAGCTTCAGCTGCATTATTAATGGTACACTTCCTGTCATTATTATAAGGGGAAAAGGTTTGATATCTTCTGAAGACCTGCAATGAGACATTTGTACAAAAAAATTAAAGTTTAACAGGAATTAAAGTTTAACTAATCACCAGTACTAAAACTACCAGACAATACAAGATATTAAATTCATCAACTAGTTCTGAATAAATCTAGAACACTTTCTGGACTTCTTTAGAAAAGTAAGATAATCCTATAATTCAATCATATAAACTATATGACTCTAGTTAATTATATGACTACATAATCCTTTAATCTCATCATATAAACACATAAAGTCAAAGAGTAGGGCGGGATCATGGAACAATAACTTAAAATGAGAATACTTTAAATTCTAAGGTCCTCTACAATTACCACAGAAGTCAGTGGATGAGAAACAATAAGGAACTAGGAAACAATTTAGTAAATAAATTTAACGATTTAATAATCCAATGATTTAACAAGACAAACTATTTATTGAGCATTTACTATACAAAAGGCTGTGTATTAAATGTGATACACAAACACACAATCTTATTTGATCCTCTCAATAACTCTATGCATATACTATTGTCTCTATTTTACTGAGACTTGAAGAAATTAACAAAACTTGTTCAAACTGGCAGACCTAGGATTTAGAATAAAAATTCTAAAACTCTTAATACCAACCCTCCACTGTCTCCCTAACACCCCAAGACAAATTCACCAATGGCAGGAATTTTACCTTCTACATCTTTGTATTCACCATTATGTAGTTAGCAAAAATGGCAAGTGCTAATTAGCATTTAATGAATAGCATGTGATGAATTTTAAAGAACCCAAGAAAATAATATTTTAGAGAAATGCATCATACTGTCATCAATAAATAGTAACTCCATTAGATGAATGGTAATATATCAGGTTATATGGAATAAAGGTGGTTTATATAAAAAAACAGAAATGAAATATCTTCATATGTACTAAATATGAGAGAAAAAGATGGAAAGACACATTGAGGAGATGGGTTCAGAAGACTTCATGAAAGAGACACATCTACAAAAATGATAAAAGAAAGAAATGCCAGATATGGGATACAATAATATTATCCCAAAGGCAAATTAACATTTTTTCAAGTATTTCTTTTTTTTTTTTTAAAGATTTTATTTATTTATTTGAGAGAGAGAGAGAGAAACAGCATGAGAGGGGATAGGGTCAGAGGGAGAAGCAG